GATGTGCAGATGTCCTGTTTGATATGCAGTGTCGATGTGCAGATGTCCTGTTTGACTGATGTGCAGTGTTGATGTGCAGATGTCCTGTGTGACCGATACGCAGTGTCGATGTGTCGATGTCCTGTTTGATCGATGCTCAGTGTCGATGTGCAGATATCCTGTTTGATTGATGCGCAGTGTCAATGTGCAGATGTCCTGTTTGACTGATGCACAGTGTAAATGTTTAGATGTCCTGTTTGATTGATATGCAGTATTGATGTGTAAATGTCCTGTTTGATACACAGTGTCGATGTGCAGATGTCCTGTTTGATTGATACGCAGTGTCCATGTGCAGATGTCCTGTTGGATTGATACGCAGTGTCCATGTGCAGATGTCCTGTTTGATTGCTGCACAGTGTAAATGTTTAGATGTCCTGTTTGATTGATACACAGTGTTGATGTGTAAATGTGCTGTTTGATACGCAGTGTCGATGTGCATATGTCCTGTTTGACCGATGCTCAGTGTCGATGTGCAAATGTCCTGTTTGATGGATACGCAGTGTCGATGTGTCGATGTCCTGTTTGATTGGTACGCAGTGTCGACGTGCAGATGTCCTGTTTGATTGATACACAGTGTCGATATGTAGATGTCCTGTTTGATTGATGCGCAGTGTCGATGTGTCAATGTCCTGTTTGATTGATACGCAGTGTCGACGTGTAGATGTCCTGTTTGATTGATGCGCAGTGTAAATGTTTAGATGTTCTGTTTGATTGATACGCAGTGTCAGTGTGTAGATGTCTTGTATCAGTGAGAACGCTTTCCCTGCTAGGTCCCAATTTAACTTGATGCTTTAGGAACAAATCAGAGCCCTCATAAGGCCTCTATAATTACTTGTGAAACAGATTCTTAGTTCATATAGTAATAAGGCAGGTATATTTGGAGAACAGTGTGTCCCTTCCTTTCTAAACTGGTCCTTTGATTTGCAGTTTGACACTCAGGCCAGTGGTCTATTTTTAAAAACAAATGATATGAATTAATAGTATCCAGATCAGGTCATGTTTAAAGAACACCCACTATGTATGGAAATGCAAGTCTCCAAAACTGATTAATTGGGGGGGAATTGTGTGCATATCCAAATAACTTAATATACAAAATCTTTTTGAAGAAGTTTCCCCAGATGTATAAAATTAGACTACATAGAGTTCTCAGGAGCGCTTCCGTAGAGATTAGGCCTCATGACTCTTGGGTAAAATTGCCACCTTTTATTGATGAAGTAAATATTGATGTGCTAAGAAGTGGTCGTTTTTTGTGCAGTAGAAAAAGAGAGTGAGATTTACTAACTGCTCTTTCTCTCTTTTTGCCAGACTTAGAAATGGCTGTTGCGTATTGGAAGTTAGTGTTGTCTGGAAGATTTAAGTTTCTAGATCTCTGGAACACGTTCTTACTGGTAAGTGTCCTCCTGCGTCTCGCTCTCGTGCTCACTGTGGAGGGAGGTCGGTAGGTGTGAGGCTGCGTGTGATCATCCACCTCAGGCCTCACACGTGGAGGTTTTCAGCAGATGAACGTCCCACACAGAGATCCACAGGTCCAGACAGGTTGCCACTTGGCTCTGTCACCTTGCAGGAGACCGCAGGGCTGGGATGGGTCTGATCCGGGGCCACCTCAGAATGTGGCTCCTTGGCAGTCACGGAAGCTCCTCTCAGGCTGGGGTTCCTGGAGACTCTGCGACCCCAGCCCAGCAGCCCCCATGTTGTCTCCTCCGAGGACCTAGACAGTAATTCTGTCTTTCCACTGAGAACTCCGAATCCTCAACACAGTGCCAGTGCCACACTTCTGTATGTTGGTTTGAGTTCCAGAACTTTGGAGTGTATCTGGCGGTGCCCAGCCACTGTGTGTCTGTGGTCTGAGGCCATGCTCAGAAGGAAAGGAGGCCTTCATGGGCCCTCTGGAGAGACACCTTCCTGGCGTGGGACAGGGCTGTGTCATGCCAGCTCGTCTTGCTGGCAGCAGGTGCAGCTGTGGGTTGTTGAAAGTGAGTGGCCACAAGCCTGGTGATGGCAGAGATGCCCAGACCTCTTGCCATTCTGTCCATGAAAGTGAAAGAAGTGGTCTTCCAACGCCAACACACAGCCAGGCCAGGACCCACACCGCCTCCATTCACCTGAGACCGGGTGACACAGACTTTGCCACTTACGAGTCCTGTGGCTTGGGCAGGTCACTTCCACATGCCTCTGCTTTCTCATCTGGGAACGGCACCCAGAGAGCATGGCAGGCGGGGTGTGGAGCTGTCTGTGGAAGGTGATGTCACTGAGTCCTGTGGGTGGCACCCGGAGAGCATGGCAGGCGGGGTGTGGAGCTGTCTGCGGGAGGTGATGTCACTGAGTCCTGCGGGTGGCACCCAGAGAGCATGGCAGGCGGGGTGTGGAGCTGTCTGTGGAAGGTGATGTCACTGAGTCCTGCGG